TGCCAAACTTTAAACTAAGCAGCATGGCACAGACAAAGCACACAGGCAAAAAGCTAGGCAAAAAGCCCATTGGCAACACATGTAAAATAGTGTTATTACAACATTAATATTCTCTGCAAACTTCAGATAAGTACAAGATTCATGATTGTGCTCCAGCTTGGTGTCACATTTGTATCAATCCATCCACCCAGTTTAACTGGCTGAGCAGCCCAGGTTGACAGTGTTTTTTTTTCATGAGCCCCCACTTATCCTGACAGCTCCCACACCTATCCCAGAAGTCCTAGTGTACATCCCTCTGATGGCAGCCCCCACTATGCCCCACTGACTCTCAACATCCTGCTCTCCATCCCATGACCCCAATATCCTTGTTCCACCCAGCACCAGTCCTCCATCCCTCTCTTGCCCCCGATCGCTCACCTAGCAGCCTCCCCAACAACCCCACTCATCCTATAGTCCTCCAATAGCCCCTCACCCACTGACCTGGGACATTCCCAGACACTCGCTGGTGCCTTTTTGTCTCCGTACTTGGTTCCTATCCTGGGCTAGGGCTGTTCCTCCCTGTCATCCTGTTCCTCCCAGTCAATTGCTCACTCCCATTGTCCATACCTCATTCCCATGGCAAGGGCCAAATCTGAGTGGTGTTGCAACAAAGCACACCAAGTCACAATACCACACACTCACATTTGGCCCCACTATCCCTTATCACGATTAGGCAGGCTATTTGGTAGTGTTCAGCTGGACACTCCAGTTTTTGTGTCATTGGTTCCCTGACCCATGCTGATATAAAGCTGGACACTGTTTTGTCTGGTGTCTTCACACACAATGCCATTTTGAAGCACATGCTGCTGTGTCCTCACCAGCATGATCTTGCATGCACTGTGAGGGAAAGGTCACACTCATGGGGGTGGGACAGCGTGTTGTGTCAAAACGCATCCTCTTTGCAGGCACGTTCATGCTGGGTGTGTGTGTGTGTGTGTGTGTGTGTGTGTGTGTGTGTGTGAGAGAGAGAGAGAGAGAGAGTGAGGTGGTATGTTCTTCAAAATAGTACCTCTCCCCACATGGTGTGACCTCACGCACACCATGCCTGGGAGGTCATGCTGGCAGAGGCTGGGCCATGCAGGCAGGAGTGAGCCCAGGCTGTTTTCGGAAGTACTGTGACGTTCATTATTTAGTTGGAGTTGGCCCTGTTTTGAACAAGGGGTTGGACATTTGCACCCCATGGTGCAGTTTAGGTTTACCCAGGGCTCAGCCCGCGGCCCGCGGGTGAGAGCCAAAACAAAAAAGTAGTCAATGTAATGGTCTTCCGTGGATATGCATTTTAGTAGTTAAAGTCCTGGACTGTCATGGATCATTAAAAGTGTTGTCATATGGGTGGAAATCAGGTAAATATTGCATTTTATTAATATCAGCAGAACTGACTTAAATGGGGCCTGTGTGTTGTGCAGTCTTGCCTTAATCTTTGTATTCATGCCCGTCAGTGCGAAAGAAGCTATTTGAATATTCTTATGTTCTTATGTTCTAATATATTTGCATATATATTTGCATGTATATGCAACCACACTTAAATTGCGGCCCTCGGCATGTGCTGTGAGCATCATTGTGGCCCCCGGGGCTTCCAAAGTTGAGTAGCCCTGGATTAGATGATCTCTTGAGGTCTCTTCCAACCCTAATTTTCTATGACAAATCAGTCATGATGGAGGGGCGGCTGGGCCAACTTGGAATGACGTCTCAAACCTGTGTGCCAGGTGAAGTGCTGGAGCATTGCTCCCTCCTGGTTTTAAGGTGCCAGAGCAGTGCTTCAGACTGTTCCAGCTGTACTATAACTCTGTGTATGCGTCTGTCACCCACACAGAGCCCCAAATTTAATTTGGCTCCTTTTTGTCCCTGTGCTCTTAGAAAAAGAGTAGGACAAGCTTTCAGGATGGCATACCATGCAGCTGGGGGCAATTGTTAGAGACAAACTACCCTGATAGTCCTTGGGTGCTGGATCGGACTCTGAGCAGCACTGTGCCAGAATATGGCCCTATGAGGCATTGGCTCTGGGTCCCCCATTGATCTCAAGCACGTGACCTTTGACACCATCATAGCTTTATGCAGACTGTGTGACGTAAACAGAACTTATGCCTTTGGACATTTTCCAAAAGGGGTGGATGGGAGCAAGATGCAATGAAAGGCTAATTATTGAGATTACTATTCTGTAAGGATGTGTATTTCCACCAACAAGGACCTTAAAATAGACTTGTCCTAAACCCAAACCAGTACCATCATGTCACTGAAGAACTGCAAGAACTCTACATTCAAATCCTGTCAGCGCATCTGGCAGGTCAGGATCTGGACCCAGCTGTCAGTTCACACATTACTTTGACAAGCTGCCCCAGCTATGGAAGGATATTTTCTACAATGGAGACAAGTTGTAACAACCTGACCCTTTGTACAGCCATGCTAAAATCAAAGTCCCGGGATTTATTGATTTCCCCATTTGTACAACCATATTTTGCTAACTGAGGGTAATAATTTATTGTCCTATTAATATGTTACCTGCTTTTGTCTGGGAAGAGTCTAGTCCTGTGTGGGCACAACTGATACCTAGTCAACTTTATGCTATTTCTCATAACTGTGATAAGACTATCTACTGACATATTTTTTCTTGTGGGTTACAAATAAGCCCAGGCCAGAGTTCCAGATCAGAACCACAATTTGGATCTATGTTTGGACTTGGGAGCTAAACTCAAACTTTCTCTAAAATAGGCCCAGATGTAGACATCAGATCCAAACACATATCTGGGAAAGTTCAACTTCATGTCTGAATTTTGAACCTCCAAGTTCAAGAACATATAGATTCAGTGTTTGGTTTTGGCCCAGGGGCCAGATATGAAATTTGGCTCCAGGCCTGGAGCTGTAGCTTGGGATCATTTCAACTGCCATAAAGCATCTTGCATAATAAAACATTTGAGAACCAGCCATTCGCTCACCTGGGCAATTCCCATAAAACTGGGTAAGTAACTTGATTTGATTATTCCTGGTTTGTATAGTGAGCTATCTCTGTCAATGACCTTGTGAAAGAGTATTTGGAATAACACTGCAGTGCTGATCTTAGCTCCACCCATGTAACACTAACACTACTAGAGGAAGCTAATAAAATGTAATTACGTATAAACTTCCCTTTTTAAAGCAGCCCCAGGCTCTTAGGCTCATTCTGTTACAGAGGCTTTTGAAAAGTCCACTACATCCTTGGTGGTACAGACAGAACCAAACCAACCGACAAGTCAGTGTGCAGTCCTTTCACACGGTAGGTTGGTTTATTTTTGAAAAATTATGTTATTTATAGATTGTGTAATCATGAGTTGCCAACTGGAAGGCATTTCTATGAAAGCCAAACAATTGTCCCTTGAGATAAAAAATGCAAACACTGGGGAGTGAGACCTAATACAGAAACCTGTTTCTGGGACTCTTCCTTCCACCCAAGCTCAGTCAGCCCATGAACATGTTGAAAACAAAGGAAAACAGCAAGCTTTCGATCATATCCTAAGCAACCAAATCTGACAGCAGGGAGCAGCTGGTATGTTGTACTCTGCTTGGTAGCAGCAGCCTTCCAAATGCAGTTTGATTTTTATTATAACATGATTGTTCTAATTTAAAAAACCAACAAATAGTCTGGTAGCACTTTAAAGACTAGCAAAACATGTAGATGGTATCATGAGCTTTCATGGTCACAGCCCACTTCCTCAGATGACCAGAGTGTTGGATATTCAGAACTAAAATAAATAGAGGAGAAGAGGGGTGGGGAGAAGGGAAAAAATAGGAGGGGGGGGGGACAAGAAGAGGCCGTGGGTATAAAAATATCAAGGGGAAAGCAGAGCTGGAATGTAACTGGAAAAAGAAATACTCTATAAGCACCTAAAGACTGGATAGTCAAAAGAGGCAGATAAGAATCATTAGTAGGCAATTAGAGAGGAAGAGTACTAACACTAGTTAGTTTCAGCATCTAGTTATTTGATGCTGAAATCTTTGCTGTTATCGTGGCACCAGAAACAAGTGTGGAAGCTACTTATTTGAACAGCACTTGCTCAGCCCCAACCATGGGAGGTTTTGCAGATCCCAGGGAACATGGAAGAACTCTGGGGGTATGTCCACACTGCATACCCCCAGAGGGTTTTGGAAGAACAGCTGTTTTTCTGAAAAAAAGACTTCACTTACGTCTACACTGCAATTGTTTTCTTTTGAAAAAAAAAATCTAAAGAACAGAGGGGTTTTTCTGACATTGGTAAAGCTCTTTCTACGAGGAAGAAGCCTTTTTCCAAAAGAGCTCTTTCAGAAAAAGGCATGCGTGGAGGGGGAAGAGGGAGTTCTTTCGGAAGAAGAGGAAAGAGGAAAAAGCACAGGTGTCCTGGTGGCCATTCCGTTCATAGTCATCACAGCTTAAATGTGAGATAGCAGCCATTCAGTGTGGACGCTATCTTTTGAAAAACCAGATTGCTTTTTTGTTGCGTGTTTGCTGTGTAGACACTCTCTTTCGGAAGAAGTTTTTTCCGAAGATCTCTTCCGGAAAAACTTCTTCCGAAAGAAGCCTGCAGTCTAGACATAGCCTGGGTTTGAAACAGTTTATCTGACATCATGAGATGTGGCTGAAATAAGATAAAGCTTCCAGATTTTCTGGCATTGTATAGGCTGTTTTATCCAAGCAATAGGGTATCATCCTGCTAACAGTTAAGGACAGGGAGATGTAGTATTGGTGGCTGGCAGGTATGCTTTGCTCCAAATGTGAATGGCTTTGCCAAATCCTCCCCTCACGTAGACAAACTTTGGGGGAAGTGATACTGAAACTTTGTATATTTAAAATTGCAGAGATCCTCTGTATTCTGCCTTTGGGGACAGAGATTTGCAGCCACAGAGACAGGGCAGAAATAGGGTCTTCTAATCAGCCAGATGGAGAAAAATGGTTATGTCTGTGCAGGGAATCAACCCCTTCAGTAGCTCTTTTCCTTCCCCCCACACTGTCCTAGAAGTGTGACAGTTAGAAATGATGGACTGCCTGACTCCCTCCTGAAGTCTGAGCTTTAACTCCCTTCTCTGAGGGCTCAAGGAGTGGCACTAACATCCACACTGGTTTTCACTTTTTGAGGCAAGATGGTTGTCATATTGGGCAGCTGTTCCCTGACTAGACTCTCTCCCTCCCTCCCCTCCTGGAGATCTTACATACCATTGACATTTGTTCTCCAGGTGCCGAAGAGACGTTAGCGTTAACTTGTTCCCATGATGCTGCTGCTGCTGCTGCTCCAGTTTTCCATATGCTGCCTCATGCCGGGGAACTGTGAACTGGTGACATCTTTTGAGAACACATGCCCTCAGTTTTTCTTCAGGGAAACCCCCCCAGATGATGCCATCAAACCTGCCAACCCAGCCCAGATCTGCCAGCGTTTCAAGAATCAGTATCGCTTTGCTACCTTGTATGACAGGGACAACCGCATTCCAATATACTCTGCATATGTGTACCAGCCAGGTTCTGGAAAGAGACCTAATAGCTGGATGGTGGAACCCCAGGTAAGATGCTCTCCTGACTGCCTCTCCATTACTACAGGACACAATCTTGGACATTAAAAATTGAAATATAGAATAAATCCCAGTATTTGTTTCCCCCATCTCTGTTCCATGTACTCTCTCTCTCTCTCTCACACTCACACACGCACACATGGACAACACAGCTGGGAATTCTCTGTCCCGTTCTGTTGTGCAGAGTCACATCATTGTGACAAAGATTATACAGGGACATGGGAGCTAGAACTGCTAGGTCTGCCTCATGTCTTCTGACTTGCTGTGCAAGCTAGGGCAGATCACACCTTGGCTGTGCCCTGCCATCACCAGGTATAGGACAAAAATTTTAATGCTCACCAACCTCATAGGGTTGTTGTGAAAGTTCACTGATCTTTACAAAGTATTTTGAGCTCCTCAGGGGAACAGTGCTGTGGTTATGCAAAAGTTTTTTATTATTTTCTATTATTGGAACCCCAGAAAATAGTGGTCAAAATGTATTTAGATATTGTACTAGTGCAATCTCCACATTAAAATGGGAGATTGCACTAGTAATCTCCGGTCCCCAAGGACAGGGTTGAATCAACTGGCAAATTTGTGGTTGGGAAGGACTTTCCCTTAGGGACATGTAGCAGAGACCTTGGTAGATGTCCACTTCCTCTATAGAACTGAGGTTGGATCATCTGTTGCTCATCTCAGAATTCCCTCCCCTTTTTTCTAAGAAGGACTTGCCCCACATAGAATGCAGACTTCTGTGCTCCTCTGGGTCAGGCTAGCTTTGTACCATATTACTGTGGGCACAATCCAGCCTTCAGGAAGCAAAATAGGTACTGCAAGTGTGGCTCCTCTTTCACACAAGTCATGACTGTGACTGAGACTGGTAGTGTACTTCCTTCCAGCTCACATGTAAATCCCAAGGGACCAAGAGGCAAGACCAAAGGTCCCTAGCGAGACCTCATACCTAGCACTACCAATTCCTTTAGACCTCCAAAGGCATCTGCCCAAGGGCCCTGGTTCCATTTTTCCTTTCACACATGACTGACTCCTTTAATTTTTTTTTGATTTTCAAGCTGATGGGTTCAACTTACCAAAATGAAATGACAACAGAATGGATCCTCTTAAATGAGATTGGTGTTGACCAGGGACTGCTTCAAGAGAGCCAGGCTGTCCTCCAGGATTACAAGAATCTGGTTAATTTCAACAGGGGTCACTTGAATCCCAATAGTCACCAACCCGACTCTGACTATAAGGCTGCTACTTTCACTCTGACCAACATTGTGCCACAGTTTATGAATCTCAATGGTGGAAAATGGAACAACTATGAGCAAGAAATAATGTTGAGTAGGACCGAAGAGTGTGCTACGACATATGTCGTTGTGGGAGTGGTCCCTGGCAACAATTACATAGCTGAAGGCAGAGTCAATAAGCCCAGCTACATCTGGTCTGCTGCCTGCTGTGAGATTGACAACAATCACAGGAAGTCCTGGGCAGTCATTGCTCCGAATGACCAGAATGTGGTCCAGCTGCTCAATCTGGGGGAGCTAGAGGAGAAGCTGGCTGAACTGTATAGAAAGGAGGAGATTCTTCTGTTTCACAGTGACTGTCCCAGACTATAAAACCCTAACCCCATTCACTCCCCTCTCCACAAACCCCTTGGAGAAAGGGTTGAGAGCCTTTGCCAGTAGCTGTGTTGTCATGAGCATTACATACTCCTTTTTTGTTTATTAAATGTTTGTATAGCCTTTTCTCCCCAAGCCAATTTAAGCATGAGTCTCCAAACTTCTTCTGTCGTGAGAGGAAGGGATCGGTAATATCCTACACCATTTTGTTTTCGGCCTATGTTATAAGCCATAGGTGGCAGCTCTTCAGCTGGAAATCTCTAGGAGAGAGCTCACAGAGATTCCTCTTCATGGTGCCTTCAGGGACGTGGGCTTTGCACATGTCCCGGGGCAAAGCAGAAAGGGTCCGTTTTCCAGCCCGGACATTCTTGCACCCATGAAAGCAGTGCTAAGTGGGAAACGTGATACTACCTGATCTGTACAACTTTTCCTGGTAAATATAATGGTACCAGAGTGCATGATGCCCGAGCCACTCATTCCTCCACTAACCAAACCAATGTCCATCCCTTTTTCTAGCAGACTGGGACATACTCTGGTTACATCTGGGTGAATTTTCCTCAATAAATAGTCGGTGAATGAAAAAGAATTATCATTAGGCCAGGGAACCTGAGTGAGACTGATTCTAGAGCCTAGTAATTGGAGCATTTAAAGTGCGGGAGGTTCAAGTCCTTGCTTTAATGACTATTCAATTATTTATAAAAAGGGGAATCAGCTGCACTCTGTGGAAGCTATCTCATCATAGCCTGGTATGTTCCTCTGTACTGTGGGAGAGCAAAGAGTGATGTCCAACTTCACATCCAGCAGAATGGAATGTGCATCTCTCTCATACTGAACGAGTCCCCTGGGCTAAAGGATTTGCGGCTTCCCCCGTCTGGCATTTTGTGACTCCCGTCTGCCCTTGCTTTTGTCAAGATACCAAAATCAGGATGAAAAAATGTGAGGCAGGTCAAAATAAGCCATGTTGTTTTGACCTGACTTGAAACTTTTTCAATCTTTCAACCATTTTGAAAAAAAAGTCACCGTTAGCATTGGCCCTTTGTTTCAGAATCACCAACAAATCAAAAAAACATTTTCTATCCTGTTACTGCTACATCTGGGTCAGGCACAACCTGCTTCTATGCTTGGCTCTCAGCTTTTCCTGGACCTGTTCACTGTCTGGCTCTCCTGCTGCAGCTAGCTCCTAGATTACTGTTTCTGGCCTACAGCTCAGTCCTTTGCCTTTTCCCCTCTGCTCTCCATGCCCAGATGATTACTGTTTTCTCTGGCCATTAGGCACTGCAGATGGTTAGATGCTGAACTGAGTCCTTGCCTCTTCCAGGATGACCCATGGCTTAATTCTTTCCCTCCTGCAGAGCAAGGGAATGGTGTCTGGTAAAGAGCCTGTAGGTTCACTGCGAATCCATAATCACTTTATGTAAAGGAAGAATGGAGTCAGAAGCAGCTCATGTGACAACATGAAGAGTAAAAAATCCTAAGTGGAGATGGAAATGGGAGAGGTCACCTGTGTTTCCTGTAAGTTGTGCACTTGTGTGGCCACTGAGGAGAGATTCCAGTGTCATATAGCTGATTAACAGTGTACCAACAGCTAGGTTTGTCTTTCTCTTGGTGGTACACATTCACACATGCATTGGTGCACATGACAAAAATTATTCCACACATGGATGGAAAAGATTAGAGGGGACATTGGCAGTCACCCAATACAGAAAACACCATAAATCAGTTAAAGCTCCCAGATGGACAAACAGGGAGAAGACGGGTGTAAGGCCAGATCCTCAAATATATTTAGGGAAATCTATCTCACATTGATATCAGTGGGAGTTAGGTATCTAAATACCTTTGAGAACTGGGCCTTAGTGGTGGCCAAAGTTGTTAGAGGAAATTGAAAGGTTTCTTCTACTGTGAGAAAAAAAAGCACTAAAGAGAAAACAGATACATCAGTACATGGGGGCTATGTCTACACTGGCCCCAAATTCCGGAAAAGGGATGCAAAGCAGGTAAGTCAGAATAGGGAAATCCGCGGGGGATTTAAATACCCCCCGCGGATTTAAATAAACATGTCCGCCGCTTTTTTTCCGGCTTGGGGAAAAGCCGGGAAAAAAGTGTCTAGACTGGCACGATCCTCCGGAATAAAGCCCTTTTCCGGAGGATCGTGCCAGTCTAGACACTTTTTTCCCGGCTTTTCCCCAAGCCGGAAAAAAAGCGGCGGACATGTTTATTTAAATCCGCGGGGGGTATTTAAATCCCCCGCGGATTTCCCTATTCTGACTTACCTGCTTTGCATCCCTTTTCCGGAATTTGGGGCCAGTGTAGACGTAGCCGGGGAGAGGGTAGAAAGCAATGACAATTTGAAAGATGTTTTTCCAAAACACAATGGCTGTGTCTACATTGGCATCCCTTTCCGGAAAAGGGATGCTAATGAGACTCATCGCAATTGCAAATCTGCGGGGGATTTAAATATCCCCCGCGGATTTAAATAAACATGTCCGCCGCTTTTTTTCCGGCTTGGGGAAAAGCCGGGAAAAAAGTGTCTAGACTGGCACGATCCTCCGGAATAAAGCCCTTTTCCGGAGGATCTCTTATTCCTACTTCTTATTCCTGAAAGTAGGAATAAGAGATCCTCCGGAAAAGGGCTTTATTCCGGAGGATCGTGCCAGTCTAGACACTTTTTTCCCGGCTTTTCCCCAAGCCGGAAAAAAAGCGGCGGACATGTTTATTTAAATCCGCGGGGGATATTTAAATCCCCCGCAGATTTGCAATTGCGATGAGTCTCATTAGCATCCCTTTTCCGGAAAGGGATGCCAATGTAGACACAGCCAATGTGAATAAATGTTGTTTATAACGGGTGATAATGTGACATTCAGGAGCCTGAACTAACCTGCAGAAGACTAATGGGGAAAACTGGTGGATGGCATATGCAGTGAGTTAGATGAGAAATAATTACAACATAACTGCAATATGGAGAGAATAACCATGAATTTCCAAAAGGATACCAGTCATATCCAACCAGATACTTACAGAACACTGCAAACTGTTTAACAGCTAGGCAAATCAATGGAGAATACAGCAGACTGTGCAAAAGTGGTCTTGTTTTACTGTTAAGCTTTTTCCCCTAACCCTTTTCTATTTCACCCACCAGTAAACTGTAGGGTGAGACCGTATTTTTATTTGATGCTTGTCCAATGCCTAGCAGGCCCTGGTCTTAGGGCACCTTTGTGCTTTTGTAATACAAATGATAATAATATTTTCTTTAATTAGCTCACTGAGGTGGAAGGAGTTCCAGGGACACACAGCAGAACTACCAAACTGCTTTTTTAAAAGCCATGTAATCTATTTAGCATACCCAGTGCCTGGAAACTGCCCTTGGAGGAATATGCACTAGGGCATCCCCCAGGTCAAGAACCTGTTCCTTGTTCACCATCATGAATTTAGAAAGTTATCAAAGGCCAGGCACAGAACCCGGACTAAAGAACAGGTGAACCCTACTGATGCAGCCACCTTTCTGGTTACTCAGGGGCCTTGCCCTTCACACACTATGTTCTTCCACCCACCTTCTGAAGCCTGCCCTGTCATCCCTGAGAGGCTAGAAACCACAGCCACACTTATAATCCCCCCTCCTCTCTTTACAATGGAAACATCCTCCCTCTTTTTCCAGTGCCACTTGGAATCCCCCACCTATTCATCTAGTAATCTCTCCCTCCACCACCTGAAACACTCCTCTAGCTTTTCACAGAGCCTCAGCCTTGAGAAAGTGCAGACACTCCTCTGGTTATACCTAAAGATGCCCTGCTTCCTTTGGTAACAGCATGAAATACCTGGGACTCCAAAGGAATGAATGAACCAGCTTAGAGCACGTACGCAGTGCTCTGTGACTGGGTTAATTCCAGTAAATAAAGGGATGCAGCCAACAATGACCAGTCTGATGGTGACCCAAATGCAGCTTCAGGGATCCATATACTAAGTACCTGGCATTGCTCAGTGTGGAATCTGAGAATGAGAGCGCTCCTCCTACCAAGCATATGCTGGGAACCATGCCAGAGAAAGAAGGTAAATGCCAGGGCTGTTCGTAAGCCTCCTGTGGGTGACTGCTGGGCTGGGAAATGGTATGCAGAGCGCAGGTACTGTTTATTTGCAATCAAGGAGTAATGTTTTAGCAGAATGAGCACTATGAAATAATGCATGTAACTAACTGGGCGGTCTCAGAGGGAGTGTACATTGCAGTTGCAGCTGTGATGGCAGCGAGGGCCAGCATACCCACGCTAGCTTGAATTTAGCTGTCTCGGTTAGAAATAGCTATGTAGAGTGGAGGCACTAGCTGTAGACGTTGCCCAAAGCCCTGAGACAGACTCATGTGGGTAGCCCGCTCTGCTCCCTCTTTGCTGTTATTTTTAGCAGCACTAGCTAGATTAAAGGTATGCCTATTGAGCTGCACTCACACTGCTGATTGCGGTTTAGACATACTCTCCCCTAGGTGCTGGAAGTAGAGCTGTGGGGGCGCTGCCCATATCCCTTGTCTTGAAGTGGTTTCCACTGTAAATGGGGCTTACAGTTTGTCTCAATGACTCTCAGTACTCCCACTATATCTATTATTCTGGCACTGCCGCATCCTCTATCCTGATACCCTCCTTCATAACCTCCAGGTTTTGGTTACCCCTCACTCATTGTATCTTGTCTTTATTGAGATCATTAGCTCTCTGGGGACTGGGACTGTTTAATCTGTAAAGTGTGTATCACCAGGGTGCTGGTTCTGATTGGGGCCCTTGGGTGCCAACGTAATATGAATGATAACTAATAATGCCACCCAACCAGCTCCATCCCTCCATAGACAGGAAGCCTCATTACATGCGTTTTCTGCTCACTTTCATGATATGAAACAGAGGCAACACCTGCCAGTTATAGCCCACAAATACATCTTTGTCCAATTCACTTGACACATAGTGCTTTTCTGTTGTATCCATTGTGATTGTAAGCTCTTGGGTACAGGGACCTGTCCTATACTATGTCTGTGTGGTGGCCAAATCACGTATGGAAGCCTTATTTTCATGACTGTAATGTATTAATATCTAATCATACCCCTGAAATGATTAGCTGCACCAGTGTTTATCGGTACTATATCAAGCAACAGCACAGAGTATATTATAATTAGTTAATATATATATTTTAGAGTATATCTGTCTTAGTGTGAGTTCATTTCTTCAAGAACTCTTCCTAAATGGTTAGAGCTAGGACCACGAAATTTGGTAGGCAGATTTCTCATATCAGAACTTAAAGCAGGGTCAGGGTTTGGTTATTCCAGGAAAATGGGAAGGGCCAAGAATGGGACTATATTCCATAACATAGACAGGGAGGGGGCTGATTGGAGAACAACAATACTGCAGAGTGACCACTGGGGCCAGTGAATGCAGGGGACAGTGATACTGCAGAGTGAACCTCTGGCACCAGCAGGGGAGTGGCCATCTGGGGACAGGGCTTCACATGGCCGGCCGACCAGTTGCCCTCTACCCCAAACAATGCCAGAGGAGGGCAGCACAGCCTAGCTCCCACCCAGGAGAGCCCCCTAAAGAGAGGCTGGGACCAGGAACTATGGCCTGGCACCTCGCAAAGTACATAAGTCCCTGGAGAGGAGTCTGGGAATTGTGGTTGTCTCCCCCACCCCCTGGAAAGGCTACCCCAAGGAGAAACCTGGCTTATACCAGTTGAGGGGGCGGGGCAGCTGGAGGCTAGAATTGGCTCCTGGAGTCCACCTTCCCACACTAGTTGCAGGGTGGGGGTGCAGCCCACCCCCTATACAGTGTAGAAGCTGGGGGCAGCTGGAGGCAGCGGCTGGCCCCTGAAGCCCCTTTCCCTGAACCAACTGCAGGCCTGGGAAGCAGTTGTAGGCTGGGCCAGCCACCAGAAACCCAGTCCTTCCTTCCCCTTCCCCGACAGGCAGGGTGCAGCAGCTGGAGGCCAGGGCCAGGCCCCAGATCCCTGGCTCCCCTCTCACAGAAGCAGGAGTCTGGAGGAGCAGCTGGATGCTGGGCCAACTCCAGAATCTCTACCCCTCTCCCAGACAAAACAGAGTCCAAGGGGACAGTTGGAGACTGGAACAGCATCACCCTTGCTGCCACCATCAGCCCCGGAATACTCTCCCCTTGACTTCCCAGCCCCCTGCCCTGAGCCCCCTACCATGAGCCCATATCTACCAGCCCTGCTCCCCCCACACCCAACTTCCTCCCCAATACAATCATTTAAATATAGCATGTATATTTTCCTTTACAGTCCCCCACAAAAAACCCCAAAACAAAACCCAACAACAACAATTATTACAGTTAAAGATCTGAGCAATGCTGGATAAACCTGCTAGTAACTCATAATTTCGGTGCTTCAGTAATAGGCAGATAATATATTCTGAGTCTGATTTTTCATTTTATTTGATACTTTGCTGCATTCATACCTGGGCTAACATTATACCTAGCTCGTATTGATCACACACTGAAATTATGTCTTCTGCAGGTATTACTGATCCCTTTCTCCTGTTATGTGAGAAGAGCTGTGAAAAATGTTCAGAGTGTTTTAGAAAGATGTGATTTTATACAGTTTTGTAAAAGTATTTAATAAGTGAAGCAGAATAGACTAAACAAAACCTATATAGTAAAAGCGAAGGAAAGGTTCCCAACCCATTTCTCTCCCTTGGAATATGTGACAGTAGGTGTACATGGGCAAGTGTCCACATTCACTGTCAGAGATCTTCCACTGTTGTTTGCAGGGTTATAGCTGTGTTGGGCCCAGCATATTAGAGAAACAAGGTGAGTGAGGTAATAAGAGACATTTAAACAGAGATACGATATTCTTACTGTCTAGCACAATGAGCTGTATATTCACCAATGACTGCCCCAAAGTTCAGGTGTATTAGTACAGCATACTGCAGACTGTCTTTAATAAGAATGATGCATATGTAAAATCTGGCCTCTAACTTGCATTATTATGAATGGTTCTGATGTTAAGAATCAGTGACTTGTGTTTAGCAAAATGAAGTTGACAACCTTTAACCCCAGGACTCCATCTTGGCTTTGCCCCTCCCCCACTGGAACATTCAGTGACTGTTAGGGATCTGGATCCATCCAGATTTTCCCGCCTTTGGCAAGAGTTCCATTTACCTCAGGTAAATTAGTGGCTCATGGTAGCCCTCAGGAGATGTCCTGTGCCCTCACCAAAATATTAATTACTAAATGGGGGTGCTCCCCTGCACCCCACAGGCCCCTTTTGCTCCACCTCAGATTCCTGCCAAGGAATCTTTAAAGGGCTGTGAGCAACGTCAGCTGGCTGCTGTCAGCCTAGAGGCAGCAGAGAAGTGCAGGTTCTCTGTCAACCGTGGCAGAGGATCATCTCTCTGTACCTGTCAGAGAAGGAGAGAGGAGTCACTCCCCACTGTTCACTCCCATCATCTATCATCTGCGATTCTGCTTCTTCAAGTTTGACATTGAGGGGTCCCTCAGCTGACCTCCCTAAGGGCTTGGAAGAGCCTACAAGTTGAAGGTCCTGAGCACCTTCCCTTCACTGCGGCAGCCAAAACCAGTCATCAAGATCAGGTCTTAGCACTGGGGGGTTACTTTCCTATTAGTCTTTGGCCACCGTGTCCTAGCTGGGGTCTGGGCTTCATGCCTCAATGACAAGTCACTGTATCAGTGTTTCTTTTAGGGATCTTCATTGTTGCATCTTTGCTTTCATCCCCATTTTTCCTAATATTGAATTCAATCTCTAATATACTTTAAGGGCACCATTTTGGGCTCACAGGGGGGTGGGGCAGCAGTTAATAACAAATATTCAATATGCTATATTTCTTTTCCTAGCACTGAGAGCTCAGATATCTTGGTTCTGGGCAAGAGCCAGTCTGTCCCACTGCAATCCAGTTTGAGCATTAAACATCTGTTTCTTCCTTACATATTGGATTCCAGTCTTTGAGCTTCTTCCTTGCTCCCCATTTCTGCTCTTGCTGCTGCTGTTGCAATGTTCTTTGTCTTTTCAATCTTTACGTCTTCTGCAAAACACCTCTCTTTCCTGTAACAACACAGTAAAATCACAGACCTTGGTTAGAATGCAGCGTATCCCTGAAAATTCTTTGGTAGAGGATAAAAGGGGGTGGGGATTGTGGTCCTTTGTTACCATACAAAACCTTGGAGCTAAGGTGCACAGTTCATTCAAAGTAAGATTTTAAAAATCTAAACAAGTATTTTAAGCGTGAACTGGAAATTGATCAGAAGAGGTCACATAGTCCTGGGGCAAAGTGCCTTCCGTGTAAAAGCCTGCTTAGTAAACAGGCCCGGATGCTGTTTCTGAATTGTTTGATGGTACAGTGCTAAGCCCAAGGCAATAATGATGAAAAAGGCACAGAGAACTGCTAAGATCCTGCCTTTGAAAGGAAGCAGCACAGCTTGTTTGCCAAATACAGGTGATCAGAAACACAGCTGACAACTGATTTCATCATCATATAGGCATCATCCCAGTCTTATCTGGATTGAGCCCTTTTAGCTAACTCTCATTCAGGCCTTGATTTCCTATAAACAGATGCTGTGCCATGCCTCCAAGGGACAGAAGTGATAAAAATATGGAGCTGGGGATGGAAGACACCACAACCCATGTGTCCTCATCCTCCACACCTAACAGCTCTATATTCATCCTAATTTGGTGCTCTGTGATAGATCCCTGCACTGACATTGTCCTTATTTTTTGCCCTTGCTTCTTCAACCTGAGGTTTTCAGCTGATCTTTGAAGTGGGGCACCTGGCATTGGTCACTGTCAGGACACTAAGCTAGATGGACCTTTGGTCTGACCCAGAATGGCCTTTCTTATATTCTTATGTCTGCCTTTCTTCTCTTTCTGGGCCTCAGAACTAGTGTATACAATACATTCTAGATGTACAATGCAGGACCTCCTGTTTTTCTCTGAAACTTTAGTCACATTTTTTAGGTTTTCATTGCCATGTGTAACAGCTAAAGACTGTAATTTTTTTTAAATGGAAGTGGAAATTCAGAAGAACAATATAGTAGCTCCAGAGGCATTTTTGTGGAGTACAGAGGTGCACACCGGCTCTTTTCAGGCCTGGCTTAAAGCTAAATAATATTGTTTATCTTCCCCATAATCTGATTTTGGTGATAATCTAGGCTAGAAAAACCACAAACGGAAAAAGTCCAGACTAAAATAAATCTGAAGCCCGATTGGCCATAACTTGACTGATGAGTTAGGGATGTGACGTGGTTAGAGTGAAAGGTCAGCAACCATGCGTCACAGGGATTAGCCAGAAGAAAAGCAACTGATTAAATAAGAAGAGAAGAACGGCCATACTGGGTCAGAACAATAGTCCATCCAGCCCAGTATCCTGTCTTCTGACAGTGGCCAATGCCAGGTGCTTTGGAGGAAGTGAACAGAACAGGACAATTATGGAGTGATCCATCCTCTGTCATCTAGTCCCAGCATTTGGCAGTCAGAGATTTAGGGACACCCACAACATGGGGTTGCATTTCTGACCACTTTGGCTATTAGCTATTAACCATCCATTGATTTATACAATTCTTTTTTGAATCCAGTTATAATTTAGGCTTTCACATTATCTTCTGGCAATGAGTTCCTGTAGCCAGACAGGAACCCCCCTTGTAACATCCATTTTTGCTTGCCTGGAGCATCCAGGGCACACAGAGCAGAAGGCCCAGGCTGTGTGACCATGAATGGCTGTAAACAGAGATACGCCAATTGCTGACCAAGAGGCTGCCAAGGAGTGTCCTTGACTTAACCCATACTGATACGAACACACAGCCATCTGCGGGGGGAGGAATCTCCCGCCCAGTAAAAAAATGTCTAGTACACACAATTTAGTTATCTCTCTTGCAAGTGTAAATTAACTTGAAACTTGCTTGTAAGAACTGGCGCCACAAAACGGACCAGTACAATTTGGCATCTTAAGATAAGAAAGAGGATACGGGCCCCCAGGGGTATATAGATGGGTCCAGCAGCACATTTTCTCTGAGTGTCAATCTACCATCTATCTGCTGGTTGGGTTAGGTGTTTGATCTCCCGAGGTTCCAGAGGGGACGCCCACCTCGTATTCGTCTTTCCTAGGAATTGAGAGACCGGCCCTGGCCTGACACGCTGCAGTCGAGAGGCACAGAAAGGGGTAAAAATTGTACCTGCATGTGGTCCTTTGTTTAAGTATATATATACATAGTGTTAGAGCTCTTTAAAGATTAAGCTGTCACTTGGTACCATTATTTCTATTTTCTATCTTTACCTTTTTCCTGTAATCATTTTTAAGACCTATATATATATATATTTGCTAGCATTTAAAAAATAGAGCAATAGCCATTGTAACCATATGCTTTTATAAGTCTTTTTAATAAACCTGTAACTGTTTAAGCTTTAATCTGACTCCTTCAGTTGCTGTAATAGAACCAAGCACAATTTAAAAGAACTTCAGCCGGTCATAAAGGGACAGGCATAGGAAGAGCTTGGGCGTTTGGATCTGTGTCACTCCCAGGTGACAAGATCCGTTGGGGCACCTTTTCAGCCTTTCCTAGCTACCCGCTGCGAAGGAACCCCTGTGTTCTAGCAGCTAAAATCTAAGATGTAATAAGCGCTTCCTATATAACGGGGCGTCTGTTGGCCTGCTGGCCACCCTCTGCGACGGGACCCCGGTCCTAGCAGTAAAGACACGGACGTTAAACCTTTTCTCGGAAACATACACACACACACACTGCCCTGACCGTCGGCTGACAGTTCCACAGGTGGACTGTTAGTTCTGTGAAGAGTACTGCTTTTGTTTGTTTTAAACCCGCTGCTTATTAATATGACTCGGTGACCCTTAATGAGTTCCACAGGTGGCCTGTGTTACGTGAAGAAGTAAATTGTCCAGTGGCAGCACTAATTCTTATTATTCAAGCACAGAAATTCTATTTAGATTTCGATGGTACAGTTTGGTTCATTTTAAGCTTTTTACTATGAGTCTATATTTTCTTTTAGCACCCAGGGTGCTGGAACAATTTGTACAGTTTGGGGGTGCTGAGAGCCATCGAACCAAACTGTAAACCAGGGGTGGAGAACCTCAGGCATGGGGGCTGAATGCAGCCCCTGGCTTGCCTGGATCCAGCCCCTGAGGCTCAAGGCCCCTCTCCCAGTGTTGGAGAGCCATGCTGGTACTCTAGCCTCCCTGCTACCTCACCGTGGGGCTGGAGCACACCAAATCCACTAGGATGGGCCCCCCTAGGCTCTGGTGTGTGAGGGAAATGTGGGGTGTGTCTTTCTCCTTTTCATTCAGGGGCCATGTCAGTGAGGTTTTTTTTTGTTTGTTTGTTTTTTGTTTTTTTTTGGCTTCTCACTTGTGTGCGGCCCCTGACTGATTTTTCTGTGGGTCAGTGGCCCCCGACCCAAAAACATTTTCCACCCTCTGTATATGATGGTCACTTCATTCTAGGGGGTGCTGCCACATTCCCAGTACCCCTAGGTCTAGCACCTATGACAGTGCCACTCCTGCACCAGCACAACCTAGTCTGTGACTTCCACATACTTTGTATCCTGGCAATACAGTGCCCCACTGAGTGTCACCTTAAATCCCATGCATTTACATTAATTACACCTCATTTTCCTCTTAGCAATGTTGTCCACTCATTATTTGACAGCTTGTTCCTTTTTTGACACCTTTGCCTCACAGACTCATTTTCAAGATTATAGTTTCATGTGCCCATTTTGACCTTAAAAACGTTCATCTTGATTTTTTTTTCATTGTGCCTTTATTTTATCTCAGGAGTTGGCAATCTGCGGCATACATGCCATAAGTGGCACGCGAGCCAATTTTGAGTGGCATGCGCAGCAGGAGCTCAGCCCCCCTCCTCCCATCCAGCAGTGGCTGGATCCCTGCGGTCACTGCACAGCTGCAGGCTGGAGAACCAGCTCCAGCTTCCTGCTGGAAGGGCAAGCAGTGGGGAGACATGAGCGCAGGAATGTAGGGACAGGGGTGGCCTGGCAAGCACAGCAGGAGGCATGACCCCGTACTGGGCTCTGCATCCCTGGGGCTGCTCTGACTCAGTGCAGCTCTCAGGAGCTAAGGGGTTAAGACACCCCTCCCCCCCTTCACTACAGACTCTGCTCCCTCCTCAGGGAGGAGGTGGGGCAGGAGCTGCTCTGCAGATCCAGGGTGGGGTGGCTGGTCACAAGCTGCTGCTGCTTCCATGGGGCACTGGGGCACCAGCTACACTGCGCTGTTCGCTGTGGGGTGTGTGCAGGGACAGGAAGCCTCTTCTGTGCCTGGCTGGGCTAGAACCAGTCCTGAGCAGCCCCGGGCTCTGCCTACCCCAGCCTCACAGCAGTAACCTGAAACTGAGGGGCAAGCCCTGGCAAAGGGCTAGGTCAGGCCGGGAAGTGATTCTGTCCATCACCCCTCCTCACCCCAGTGCTGGTCCCAGGGGACTGTGAGTTCCAGGGCTGCTGCCCTGCCAGTGTGCATGCTGGGGGCACAGGGATGTGGCGGTAAGAGGGGTGAAGGAGGATGTGGGGGTAGGATGGGAGGGAGCAGGGATTGCACTGAGGGGGATGGGGTGATGCAGGGCATCAGGCTGAGGGGGAACATGGGGCTGAGGGGAGCAATGCTGGAGCAGAGGGAAGATGTGAGGGGGGATACAATTTTACTTTGCAGAAGCTGCACTTTCCTTTACTCCCCACTTCTTTGCCTCCCTCCCCAACTAGCTATTTGGCTGCATTCTCAACCTCTCACCTTTTCTGCGTTACTCCCCCAACCACCTCCCACCCTCAAATGCCCTCTTGTACCCCCACCCCACACCCTCACCTTTTGCGTTGGATGGAAATTAATATTTTACTTTATTTAAAATTAAGTTTGATAAACTAACATGAGAAAGTTAAAACACTTAATCTGTTTAATAGTTTAAATTAAACCATTCTCCCTAGCTGCAGCTGGTTCAGAAAATATGGTCACCATATCCAGCCTGCCCCAGGCTGCCCTGTCCCCTCCTCCCCCTGGCCTGCAGATCCATAAATACAAGTGAATAAGATAAATCTTGGCACACCACTTCTGAAAGGTTGCTGACCCCTGTTTTATATAGTTAATCATTCATATAATACAAAAGAATACATCAATTAATCCCACCTATGCTGTGTATGGAGTGATGTAGCTAATAGCTCCATGCATGCTAAGGATCGTTTAGGTTTAATTAACTCATTTCTGCCATGCTTTCTACTTACCATAGCTTCTGTACAACGATCCACCCCAAAATGATTAAAACGATCAGTAAGACAGTGACAGCAACTTTTGAGAAGACATCAAGAATCAAATCTGTTAACAGATGACATTATCTGAAACACCACAGAGTAATTAGTATGGTAGTTACAAAAAAATGACTGTTTCCCCAAAGTTAATTTAGAGAAATGGGAGTCAGGAAAGGGATAGGAACTCACATCCCCACATTACAGAGTGAAAAAGAGAGTACCATGTTTTAGCGTAGATAACCCTCGGGTTATGCAAAGTTTTACACTCGTCCGCGTGTAATACAGGTTTGTTTTTTTTTACTTCGGTGGCGGTTGAGGTGCTGAATCAGAATTGCTGTTGTAGCCTGAGCAGCTGTCACAGGGAGGGACCAAGCAGGCAGTGCAGAGGGGGATGAGAATTCAGGGAAGAGGTAATCAGCTGTGGGGAGGGAGAGGAGATTCCCCTGCTGTGGGAATACCCAGTGACCTTTCTTCCCTCTGTTGTGTCTGTCCAAATGTGGCTGGCTCTTTGTGAGGGAGAGAGGGAGTGTTCTGTTTAAGGACACAGCTCCTTTACTCAGCTCCTGGCTCAGCTCCTGGCTCTGGCTGCCTGGAGCTGACAGCTCACCCTGGGGGAGTGCATAGCATGGGTGGAAGGCAGCTGGGGAGGGTTGGAGATGGTGCAAGGGGTAAACCCAGTCACCTTCCCTTCCTATACAGCCTGGGGCAGACAGCTCACCCCCGGGGGAGCCAGCCTGTCTGCCCTGTCAGGCTGCGGCCATCTACGCTGCGCTTTGGCAGTTGTGTATTTGGGAGCTCAAAGGCTTCTGCGCGACAGGCTCAGACCCTGATGCCTGAGTTAATTACCCTCATTATCTTTCATTAACAGTACCTGTGGTTCACCTTCCACAGGCTATACACGTGCGTGGGGTATATAAGATGTTTTTTACTCAATCAGGAAAAAACACAGGTAATACACGGGTGCGGGTAATACTCGTGTGTGGGTTATATACGCTAATTTATGGTACATACTTCCCATGATTGCTTTTTAAATCACAAATCTACACTTGAGCATGCCCAGTCTACTGCTTGTTATACATGGATATGATGGAAGTTGCAGCATCCAGGAAACTGAGTTCTCACAAAGAGGCATAGTATTATTCCATGCCAGTTTGAAGAGGCAGGAAGATCCAGCCATTATGCCTCTTGCTTAAACATTTGGGATATGTCTACACTAGCTCGTTAGTTAGAACTAGGTAGGCAAATGAGGTCAACCGGAGTTGCAAATGAAGCCCGGGATTTGCATGTTCCCGGGCGCCGCCATTTTTAACTTCATTTGCATCTTCCTGGGCGCCGTCATTTTTAAATGCCCCTTAGTCCGAACTCCGTGGCTGCGGCTATTGAATGAGGAGTAACGGTAATTCGAATTAGGATCTCTAATTCGAACTACATACTCCATGCCGCGTGTGGCCGCGGGTACGGAGTTTGGACTAAGGGGGATTTAAAAATGGCGGCGCCCGGGAACATGCACATGAAGCCCGGGATATTTAAATCCCAGGCTTCATTTGCAACTCCAGTTGCCCTCATTTGCCTACCTAGCTCGAACTAACGAGCTAGTGTAGACATATACTAGGAGACCAATTTTCAATTTCTTGTTCTGCTGCAGGTGTCTTGTGCGACTTAATCCTAATCCTAATTAGGATTAGAATTAGGTGTCAACTATCCAGACATATGTTGGGAAACTAACACAGAGGGGCACAGGCTATCCAATAAGTTTCTGGACTGCATTGGAGACAACTTTCTGTTTCAGAAGGTTGAAAAAGCTACCAGAGGAGAAGCTGTTCTGGATTTGGTTTTAACAAATAGGGAGGAACTATTTGAGAACTTGAAAGCGGAAGACAGTATAGAGGACAGTGATCATGAAATAATAGAGTTCATGATCTTAAGGAAAGGTAGAAGGGAGACCAGCACAATTGAGGTAATGGATTTCAGGAAGGCAGATTTTGATAAGCTCAGAGAACTTGTAGGTAAGGTCCCATGGGAAGCAAGACTGAAGGGAAAAACAACTGAGGAGAGTTGGAAGTATTTCAAAGGGACGTTGTTAAGGGCCCAAAAGCAAACAATTCCGCTGTGTAGGAAAGATAGAAAATATGGCAAAAGACCAGCTTGGCTTAACAAGGAGATCTTGCATGATCTCAAAATAAAAAAGGAGTCATATAAAAAATGGAAACTAGGACAACTAACAAAGGATGAATATAGGCAAGCAACACGGGAATGCAGGGGCAAGATTAGAAAGGCAAAGGCACAAAATGAGATCAAACTAGCTACAGGCATAAAGGGAAACAAGAAGACCTTTTATAAATACATTAAAAGCAAGAGGAAGACCAAGGACAGGGTAGGCCCACTGCTTAGTGAGGAGGGAGAAGCAGTAACAGGGAACTTGGAAATGGCGGAGATGCTCAATGACTTCTTTGTTTCGGTCTTCACCGAGAAGTCTGGAGGTGTGCCTAACGTAGTGAATACAAGCAGAGAGAGGGTAAGTTTAGAAGATAGGATACACAAAGAACAAGTTAAAAATCACTTAGGAAAGTTAGATGTCAGCAAGTCACCAGGTCCTGATGAAATGCATCCCAGGATACTCAAGGAGCTGATAGAGGAGGTATCTGAGCCTTTAGCTATGATCTTTGAAAAATCATGGCAGACAGGGGAGATTCCAGAAGACTGGAAAAGGGCAAATATTGTGCCCATCTATAAAAAGGGGAATAAGAACAACCCAGGAAATTATAGACCGGTCAGTTTAACGTCTGTCCCAGGGAAGATAATGGAGCAGGTAATTAAGGAAATCATATGCAAACACTTGGAAGGTAATAAAGTGATAGGGAATAGCCAGCATGGGTTTGTGAAGAACAAGTCATGCCAAACTAATCTGATAGCTTTCTTTGATAAGATAACGAGCCTTGTGGATAAGGGAGAAGCGGTGGATGTCATATACCTAGACTTTAGTAAGGCATTTGATACGGTCTCGCATGATATTCTTATTGATAAACTAGGCAAATATAACTTAGATAGGGCCACGATAAGGTGGGTGCATAATTGGCTGGATAACCGTAGTCAGAGAGTTGTTGTTAACGGTTCTAAATCCTGCTGGAAAGGGATAACAAGTGGAGTTCCTCAAGGGTCTGTTTTGGGACCCGTACTGTTCAATATCTTCATCAATGATGTAGATATTGGGATAGAGAGTACTCTTATTAAGTTTGCAGATGATACCAAACTGGGTGGGGTTGCGACTTCTTTGGAGGATAGGGACATAATTCAGAATGACCTTAGCAAGTTAGAGAAATGGTCGGAGGTAAACAGGATGAGGTTTAATAAGGAGAAATGCAAAGTGCTCCACTTAGGAAGGAGCAATCAGTTCCATACATACAAGATGGGAAGCGACTGTCTAGGAAGGAGCATGGCGGAAAGGGATCTAGGGGTCATAGTGGACCACAAGTTGAATATGAGTCAACAGTGTGATGCTGTTGCAAAAAAGCAAATATGATTCTAGGTTGTATCAACAGGTGTGTTGTAAGCAAAACTCGTGAAGTCATTCTGCCACTCTACTCTGCACTAGTTAGGCCTCAGCTGGAGTACTGTGTCCAGTTCTGGGCGCCACATTTCAAGAAAGATGTGGAGAAATTGGAAAGGGTACAGAGCCCAGCTCCCTCCTCCCAGGCTTTCCCCTCCCCTCTCCCACCTCCTTTTCCCAATCTCCCCAGAGGTTCATCTCCCCCCCCCAGTTTTGTTCAATAAGCCCAATTTCTATTTTTGAACATACGTGTCTTTTATTTGACATCAGGAAGGAGGGCTAGGGAGGGGTAAGTGGAAGAACATGAGGGAGGAATGGGGCACGAGTCCGCAGTGAGGAGAACCAGGGAGGCTCTGAGGGCTCCTCGGGTGGATGCTCTCCTGCAGGGCCTCCTGGATCCTGACAGCCCCCCGATAAACCCCTCTGGATGGCATCCTGCAGCATGTGCAGCTGGGCTGATGGCAATGACCCCACGAGATGCACTGGCATGCCCAGGGGCAGCTCTGGCTCCATGTGGCCGAGTGCCGTGGTGTCCCGAGTGCAAGCACTCAGGGCACTCCAAGACAGGACTGCTTTGCTGTCCCTCATCGAGGTAGATAAGCAAGTGGGGAACCCTGAGAACTGTCTGTCCAGGGTGGGGATAGGGTCCCTTTAAGAATGGAGCTCAGTTAGCCTCAGGCAACAGCCCCACATACCTGATGCCTTGCCGGCACTGGTTCTGGCCAGCCTTAACTTCGGTTCAGGGTCCACTCAGTGTGGACGCGCTATTTCAAAATAGCAAAACGCTATTTCGAAATAGTTTTTGTGTGTAGATGCTTAATTTGATGTAGTGTATGTAGTGTAGACATACCCCTGCTGTCATTAGTGCATTGCAGATGTAGACTTGTCCAGAAGATTTTCCCATTTTCTTCCTTACATGTCCTGATACCAGAGGTTGGGGGTCGAGTATCATAACCGCTCAGACACTTGTAATGCAGTTCCTGACCCACAGCATACTCTGTCACCTTAGCTGTGGCATATTCCACGGGCATGGGCATCCCACAGTAACCTATGCAATCCAAAGGGAGCAGACACTTAGGCACAATATTTATCTCACTGTGGCTCTTATCACATCAGTGAGATTTTCAATGCAACAACATTTTCCTGTGTGGAGAAAGCCAGTCTCCCCCAGTTTTAGGGGGCAAAATGTAGGGCTGGACTTAGGGCAAGGCAAGTAAAGCGGTTGCTTTGGACCCCATGCCTTTAGGGCCCCGTGCTGCCCAGCGCCCATATGCCTGGCTTCTCACTTGCTGCTCTGGCTGGGAGTTTCCTGGGCGTGCAGTGCAGCCGCTGTCAGCATGCTGCCTGGGGCCCTGCAAACTTTGGCCAAGCACGGTAATATGAAAAAAGCCTTTTGATACACATTAACAACTGCTTCTAGCAAATGGGTTTGGGATCTGCTATGTTTGAATCGAAGATGACCAAATCTAAAACATAAACATTAAAGAGTGGATTTGAAAAACACTCAAGGTTGGCTTTTTTCTGCTCCCATGCAACCCAACAGAAGAAATATGTTACAGAAATTACATGACTGGTACCTGCTGTGTCAGACGGCACTATGGTGACTGGATTCTCCGGTGTACTGTTCTGTGGTTTTCTTTCTGACTGCTGTGAAATAGCACCGGCGTCCCCTAAGGATGAGATTAAACTTATTGGGATTTTTTTCTGGAAGAGTTACTCATACTCTAGAATCACAAATGGAAAATCCCCATTTGGTTGCCTAGGCCAGCCCCTGCCAGTAAAGGTACAGAGTGGTTCCTTACAGCACGTAATCTAACCCTACATATTTAATAATATTCCATGTATGCCTGTTATGGGGTTCTTTCCCCTTTCTCTGAAGTATCAGGGTCTGACCCCTCTCAGACTGTTTACTGGACTAGACAAACTGTTGCTCTGATCAATCTGTCAAGTCCAATTGAGTGGAGTCTATTTTAAAAAGTCACATATGACAGCACTCTAGAGAGACTGCTCCATAGCCCAGTAAATTACATCACAATGCCAGGAAACTTCCTCGTATTTTGCCTATTCATAGTTAAAGGCAAAGATAATTTTCATTATATGGTAGGTTCATGTTTTGTTTAACGGTGTATCTGGATTTGATATAAAGAAACAGTATGCGGCATTCAGGTGACTTTGCTGTACAAGGCCATGATCTACCCATTCTTCCACAAAGGATTTCACCAAGTAGAAAGAGTGAATGCAAAATTGACCTTCATCTACAAATTTGACACTGTACAAGCCCAGAGAAATAAAGACATTACCTGGATGTCACACTATAAAGCTAGTCTCCCCTGCCTTTAACACCTCATTTTTATATCAATAGCTAAGTATGGGACACTTACAGACCACCAGTCTCTGGTGAGACCACAATCATCATTAGCACTGGTTCTACAATTGACAAGTAATTTTTTTCCTCTTCTTACTCTGTTATAAATACTGGGTTCCTGTTATCCCTCTCCGGCTCATCTGAGGAAGTGGGTTTTGCCCATTAGAGCTCATGATATTATCTATATATATTTATTAGTTTCTGAGGTGCCACCAGATTACTTGTTGTTTTTAAAGTTACAGACTAACATGGCTACCCCTCTAGACTTAACAGATATGGCATCCTTAAAACCATGCCTGACTGCAATCACAGCATAACAGGACAAATTCAGTGTTGGTGTATCTCATTGGAGTTAAGTCATTGGAAGTTCCTCCATACCCACATTAGATCAGTATCTGGCTGAGCACACATGATTCCCTCCTCTATCCATTGTTACCCATCTCTATGAAGGTACATAACAACCAGAGATCACAACTGAGCATCACACATGTTTGTGAAGCTTAGAGCTCCTAGCAAAGAAGACCAGAACCATGGGTGTATCCAAAACAAACACTGTGACTAATACAAGTGCCTTTCATCAGAACAGTGATAGAAATGTAGCCGTGTTAGTCTGGTGTAGCTGAAACAAAATAATCCTCTGAACTGGCATTCATGCTAAAATTCGACACTCTCCGCAGGGGAATTAACAAAGACTCCAACTATCTTACCCATTACAAAGATAGCTTCCCCAATTATCACCTCTAATACTATTAACTCACAGACATCTCCCCTTCCCCACCTCTAATATCATTAACTCACTGGCATTCGCCTTCCTTCCCCCCCATCCCCACATCCCCCTTCTGTTCTGTAATGTGATTTGTCCTTTTCATGTGTGTTCATTTTTTTAAAAATTGTATCCTTTGGTATATATGGTTGTGACTATTTTCTTCCATTATTTGATCTGAGGAAGTGGGTCTGGCCCACGAAAGCTCATCATCTAATAAACCATCTTGTTAGTCTTTAAAGTGCTACATAGTCCTGTATTTCATCAGAACAGATTGAAATAGCAAAATCTAATACATGTTGAAGAGTGTGGTTCTTTCACATAGCTTTAATGGCTGCATCAGGTCAGAGGGAGTTTGCTCTTTGCTGAAGAATGATTCCAGTTATGGCAACAGGGTATTGAAGGGAGACATGACAAGTAAACTTTCTCTTGTCACCTCATTGCCAGTGGTCCCATGGAACCAGCAAAATGAACATCCAAAGCTCTAGTAAGTGGGGCAGGAGACATGAAAATTCTACTGTGTTCAGAAGAGACTAAACTCCAGAGGCAACAGTGAAAGTTGTGAGAAGGACATGAGCAAATAGCCAGTCCTCTCCTCACGGGTCAAACTGTTTTGGGCAGCCAGTGAGGTCTGTGTTGGATTTGTGTGTTTTTAGGTGCACTGGCTCCTAAGAGAAGGAACCACGTCTTTCTATGAGATTCTTAGAGGACTGTGTTTACTGTCAGCCCTCAGCAAATAATAAATAAGTAGATTCCACCATTAGGAAATTTCCCCTGATAGCCTGCATGTTGATTCTAGAAGTAGGCACGAGCGACAGCTAACTTCGGAATCAGATGGTTAGTATCGTATAAACACCTAGGTAAATAAAGAGAAGTTTGGATTGATATTCAGATCCATATTTTTCCAAAGTTTAAAGCTTGGGTTTTGCTCTGGGCCCATCCCTGTTTTGTTCCTGACAGAAGCTTTGGCCTCTAACAGGTACCATATGTCTTTCACTTTGTAAGCTGTGTGTTTCCACTCCTTTTCTTCACTCAGCTTGCAATGTGACTCTAAATTGGTCAGTTTCTGATTAAAATCTGTTTTACTTTCCTTTTCTTATGCATTAGCTCAACAGTGTGGTGTTTCTAGCTCTGCCATAATGTTTTTAAATTGTAATAATAAACTAAACTCTTTATTTTAATTTCATTGTACACACTTCTCTGTATATTAGATGTATCTTCAGAAAGAGTCAATATCTGAGTGTCAGGTGTGCATGAGAGAAGTAGGAATACAAAACATCATTCATTACTGCCGTATTGTGCTGCTTCTAGAGTAGCACAATTAATTGAATATTGGCTGCCCATATAAACGAGGTGCTTAGACCTAGCAGGAAGGAAGGTAACTACTTACGTTTACATATAGTAGTTCTCATGGTCCAGTGAATGAACTCAGAATCATTTTTACAGACAATAAAATCAGACTCTCCAACTATCCTTTGATAGCCAGGTTTGCACTCATATTGCGCCTTGCTGCCCACCATGACCTTGTCAATGGTAATCTCAGCAAACTCAATGTAGTCTGGGGCATGGCACTTCCCTGCAAAGAGAAAGCAGGTCTGTTAGTACATGGCTGGAGGGCTTTGAATCACTTTGATTTTAGACAGCCTGGGAGCAATGGTGTCCATATGGTTATGGCACTGGAGTATTTCCATTACTGCAAATGGAGGATTGCATGTTTGAAAGTAAGGGTGGAGAAGGGTTTAAGAGGCTTACCCCACAGTGACCATGGGAGATGAAATCCCAGCCCACATAGAAAGCAGCCCTGGACTAGTCCTGTCCAATCTGCCAATACCATGTCTCCCTTAAAGAAGTACATTTTCAGGTTACAAGAAATGATGATAAAACCATGGGTGAATTCACAAAAGTACTTAGACTCCTAACTTTAACAGAAATCAATTATATATCAGGGTCATAACCTCAGATCCCCATTTTGAAAATAGGGGATAAATTGCTTACAGCCTAAGTCCCTAAAGCCGCAGTGCTACAATAGGGGCTCAGATGAGACACCTTTTTTTTTTTTTTTGTATTCACGTGAGTCATTTAGTTCCAACCTGTTGCGGGGATGGCAGATATGCTCTGAGAACTGGCAGTTAATGTTGGTGGATTAGAAGGCTTTCAAGACCTCATCTATGATAAAGACACTTTTTTCCCCTTGTTCATCAATATGTGGGGGGAGGGGCACCAGTTTTTTTTATGTCCTCCATTTAATGTCCTCTTTAAGATGGCGACCAGTCTCCTGGTCACCATCTCCTGACAGAAAAGAGCTAGGAAAAGAAGAAAGGCGGGAAAGAGAAAAGGCAGGAAAATGGGTCACAGGACCCTAATCTGCCCAGTAAACAGAGGGTTCATAAGGGGAGTTCACCCGCCCCTCTGGGCTCTCTTTGGGTGTGTCTAGACTACATGCCTCCATCAACGGAGGCATGTAGATTAGCCTGATCGGCAGAGGGAAATGAAGCCGCGATTAAAATAATCGCGGCTACATTTAAATTTAAATGGCTGCCCCGCTCTGCCGATCAGGCTAATCTACATGCCTCCGTCGACGGAGGCATGTAGATTAGCCTGATCGGCAGAGGGAAATGAAGCCGCGATTAAAATAATCGCGGCTACATTTAAATTTAAATGGCTGCCCCGCTCTGCCGATCAGGCTAATCTACATGCCTCCGTCGACGGAGGCATATAGTTTAGACGTACCCTTTGTGTGCATGTCATCGGCACAACCCAGTGATGCTAGGGCAACAGCTAGCAGGCTGTCTGGCTTTGTAGGCCTTCTGGGGTAGAAGCCAGCCTGGTTGCTGACAGCCCTTTGTGGTGCATCAATCCAGTTTTACAGCTATAAGGACTGCTAGCACACAATTTATTTGTTTTAGGTAGGAGTCTACAGCAGGGCCAGTTATACACACACGCATACATGCCATCTCGTCCTCCTGTCCACACTCCGCATGCAGGAGGGCATGTCAAATATAGAAGAAAGGAAAAAAGAAGACCAGAACAGAAAAGACCGTCTACCTAACTGGGTCTCTGCAACTCCATCGTGTCTTTGTTTGTTCCTTTTCCTCAGCCTGAAGACGTTCACATACCTCTTTTCTCCGGACATTGAAACAGTGGTAGGACTGTTTAGACCATTCCTATTTTGGGTTCTGGCCTCACACCAGGCTTCATTTGTGACAACCAGATTTTACGTTTGCTTTCTACGTTTCGTATTGTGTTAAATAGAACGGTCGTTGTTTCAGACATTTCTGTGTGACTTGATTAATACATGGTGATAGAGATACAGTGCAGGTGTAGAACCTGTGTCCCTGTAAGTAGGATTCAGTCCTGGTCTAACAGTTTTGTCAACCGCAGCAGGACACCTACTATTAGTCAAGTCACTGTTTTAGTTTATTTTCTAGCTCTGTCAGTTGCTAGCAGGCCAGGACACTGTGTGGGTGGGAAATCGCTCCCGAGGGTGACAGAGAGGTGTCCATAGGTGGCATGTGCACCTTCATTTCCTGCAAGGGTGGTGGTGAACCACCAATGCTTGCCCAGTGGCGGCTGGGGGGAGTCATTGGTCTGCGGTACCAAATCATACCTCCTCTCCCCACAGATGGGGATCTAGGTGGGGTGGAACCTGGGATAACTCGAGCAGCAACTGGGAAGGATCAGCCTCCTTCTGTGGGCCCAAACAGCATGAGTAAATGAGTGACCAGTCTGGGGCAATAGAGTCCACCTTAGGTTGCAGATCTGAGGAATCCAGATCTAGAGGGTTTAAGGGCTAGTTCCAGACGGTGGGGGATAGTAGCTTTGTGGGTCAGACAAGCAAAGATAAGTCGGGTCTTATCTGACATTGAGGACAGAGCCCCATCCTGCGGTAATAACCAGCTGCTATCTGTGTACTTCCCAGCCATGGCTGAGAGCTGCCAGGTATCATTGGTTCCTGTGCTCTTCTGGGGCACAGCAGAGAAGCCGTGCGGTTTCAAGATACCAGCAGGTTGATTCCCATCCAGCATGTGCACCTGGACCACTGGAGAAGCTGGGTGGTTACTGATTCAGAATAAAACTTCCCTTGTGTTTTGTGTGGAATTATTTGGAAAAGGGAAGAACCTTCAGGCAGAAGGGCTGCTCAAGGTGGGCAAAGTATACTCTACCCTGACATGGTGCTGGGAAAAGTTTATCCAGGAGAAGCCTGTTCCTAACACGAAGCAGATAAAAAGGGCTCTGATCTATGGGCTGTACATTGTCTCTAAGGAGCTCCACGAGTTCTGTGGATCCCAGGCAAGTACTATAACTCAATTACAGCAAGTGATTAGGGAAAAGAAAGCTGAATTGGAGAAGTTTAATGATCAGGTAGAGGGGCTGGATCCCCAAAATGGTGGATATCTCATCCAAGTTAGCCGCTTGGACTCTCAGCTTTCAGAGCTGTCAGACATGCTGACAAAGAACTCATCCAAGCTGCCATTAAACAAGAGGAATCTCAGGCAGCAATCTGAGAGCTCATGAAAGAGGTCAGGTCTAAGCCAGGCCAGAGAAGCAGAACACTTGGACTGATTCAGAGATGGAGAAGTTCCATGTCTTTTGCAGGAAATATCAGAGCAGGGAAACAGGAAAGGGGTGGCAGCTTACTGCTTCTCCTGAGCCCAGTCCTCCTGTAACTTAGGGTACGTCTAAACTACATGGCTCCGTCGACGGAGCCATGTAGATTTGTTGTTTTGGCAAAGTCAAATGAAGCCGCGATTTAAATGATCGCGGCTTCATTTAAATTTACATGGCTGCCGCGCTGAGCCGACAAACAGCTGATCAGCTGTCTGTCGGCTCAGCGCGCTAGTCTGGACGCTCCCCTGTCGACATCAAAGCCCTTTGTCGGCAGCTCCGGTAAATCTCATCTCATGATCATTTAAATTGCAGCTTCATTTGACTTTGCCTATGTGTCTAATCTACATGCCTCTGACGACAGAGGCATGTAGTCTAGACACAGCCTTAGAGCTTACCTATGGCACCTATAACTAACACAGTGGTAAATTATGGCCCAGGGCCTACATGATCATCAGAAACTCATCAAGAGTTTAAGTCTTATATAGCTGAACAAGCTCGAGCAGCAGACAAGACCCTAGGTCCCCTGAATAGGGATACAGCTTTAGACTGGTCCTTTAAGGTGTGTGCCCTGCCGGGGTGGGAACAGAGGCCATCTCTGCCCTAATACGGGAATGTATGGTCAGTGAGGAATTTAGTGCTTTGCTTGTGCACTTGCAAGTGGGAGATGCCACCAACCCTTTTCAAATGTATGAGGGCCTTATTAAATGTTACTACCCTAGTCAGAACCTTATAAGCAACTCTTATTCTGAAAGATAACACCCTCATGAGAGGCCAGAGAGATATTTAGGAAGGAAGAAACTTCTGTATTGGTTAGCAGGTGATTTCTCATGTGATGCAGCAGAGTCCTGGGCAACAGCTTTACAGGATTTGACACCAACCCTCCGTATAGCCCTTGGTCATGTGGATTCTCAAAATACCTCGCTGGGGGAGTTAGAGAATAAAATTAAGGAAGCC